AGTACATTTCCTGGCGGATTATTTTAGATCAGGATGACGATATCCTGGCGTATTTGTTTGTTGAAATAATAAAAAAACAAACAAAAAAAAAACGAACAAACAAAGAGTTAAGTTGTTGTATATGTGCTTGAGTGTTTCTGTGTGTGTGATCTGAGTTGATTATTAGGACTTTGTGGTTTAATTGCATCTGTATATTGTGCTTTGGCATGTATATTGTGCTTTTGCATGTAAATGTCTTGTTGGGTACCATATATGTTAATTGTAATCTATACAATCTGTATCGTCACTCTCCTATTCTATCTTTTGTCCTAAGGAGAGCTGTGCTTAGGCAATCACATGGTTAATAAACGTTGTGCTTGCAAGTCTTCTCCCCCCCTCCCCTCCTTCTTGGTTGCTTTCTCTTGCTCTGACTGCTATGAGTATTGGCTACAGGGGGGGATGAGGAATGTAAGGGAAATCTTCCAGCTGCTGGCCATTAACTGGCCATTAGCTGTTGAAAAAAAACAAAAAAAAACAAAGATCAGAAATGTTATGAAACTAGTCTGTACTTACAATGCATTGATTTGTAAACGAGATGCAGGTCAAGAAAATTTAGAATCAGCAGATAAAGAAATAAATTTGAATATGTTAACAGAAGACAAATCAGATTTAAATGACCAGTGTAACAAAGTAACAGAGCTGTAAAACTTAATTTGAAAATCCATTAACAAGTAATGAAAATTGTGAAATGTATTCCAGTTTATGACATGTCAGTGGATGCATTTACTAATGCTGAAATATTTGAGTCAAATTTGGACAAATATAGCCTAAATGACGAACAAAGGAATAGACTATTTAAAACATGGCTGCCGACTCAAATGCATATAGACTTATTGGTAATTTTCCTGAGGATCAATTAATTAATTTGTGAAAAAATTTCAAGATCTAGATTCAACTGCAATTGTAATTGCTAGAGAAAAAAGTACTTTGAAGGAAGTTGCTTTATTCTTAGATAAAGTAAAGAGGTATCCAGGCATGAAGGGGTTACACTGACTTGTTAGACACAGAGAAAGAAGTGCAGATTTCACCCCCTCCTTTCCCCCTTAGAACTCAGTGTGAAAGAGCAATAAAGACACCTGAGCGCCTCCCAATTGCCTCAACGGCAGAATATAACTAAAGTTATTTGTGTTTGGTGAACATTATTTAAGATCTTGCAGATATTTGATTCTAGAGTTTAAGCCAGCACAAGAATAGAGATATGTATTTGTTTGTTTACTAACTTGTTAGTCTGTACTGTTTTTTTTTATTTTTTTTGTTAGTTTTTTCATTTTTTTTTTTATGTATGTTATATTGGTTGTATGCTATTATACAGTAACTCCAATCATTTTACAGAAGGGAAAAAAAAAATAGATTTATTCTTTGTTGCTTCTGAGGTTGATTTAAAATCTTTGATTTAATTCATGAGAATGAGATTTTAATATCATGACTGATAATGGATTAATGTATATTGCAACACCTGGACATACACATGGTTTGGATATACTGAAGACAAAAGGAATAATATATGGGAATGGATAAGGCTGATTTCCCGCTATCCACAGCCACGCCTACTCCTAAAGTAACATCGCGTCCATCCTTACTATGCCCTTTTACTGTAGAATTACCCGAATCCTAATGACCCATTCCACTACATGGTGTGACTTGTTTAAGCCTAAGATAAATTGGCTGATCAGGCTACCTGTATTAACAATGTCATCAACGATGAGTTAGCATCTGTGGAGAAGTATCACTTCAGGTTGTCCCAAATTTTCTTTTAACTTAGGTTTTAGTACATAATAAGGCCCATACCCAACGGCTACATGCAGCCTTGTATAGCAGGCCACATGACATCTATTTGTACCAAGCAAGGCCTGCCTGACTCCTCATTCCTGTCTAACATTGTTGTCTCCTGCATAGGTGTAGATGGCTCTCCTTGGAGTAGCCTGTTAACTAAGCCTTGCTTTGTGGTTACCTTCACCTGTCCAATTAATCTGCTAGGTGCAGATGTCCTTCCCCCCACTTGCAGGCCCCTATCACCTTATTATTTCTTTTGTTCCACACAGTGAAACCTGACCAAGAGGCAAGGGTCCTAGCTAGTTCCCCCAATACCTTTACCTGAATTATACAGGCCCCGAAGCCTGTCCAAGCTCTTACTATTCCCTAACAGGTTAAGGCTCTGGTGTCGAATGGTGCCCTGGTTCCCTGAGACTTTCCCTGCAATATCACACCTCTCCTTGTGATGGATGAATTCTGTGCAGGATAGTGTCACCCTGCAGAGATGATACTCTATTTACCTGGCCACTCTTCTGCCACTTCCCAGGGGGGGGAAATGATAAGACACTGACTATTATTTTTTTTTGCCTTTTCCTCATGATCTGTTCCGGATTTGCTGTCACTACAGTGGACCAAGTATCTCACCTCAACAATGTCTGCACAAGAAGCTGAGCTATAGGCTCCCATCACAGCATGCAAGATCTCTGAAGGAAGACTGAACTCGGAGGAAGCATGTGGCAACTCTCTGGCTGACCAAGTTGTTCAAGAAGTTGTAAGTGCACTAAGGGAAGTGGACAGAAAAGTGTCTGCTGAAGAAACTCCCATATTCGCCATGTAAGATCCTACCCACAGACATCAAGCTCCCGAAGGAATAACAAGCAGCTACTGACCCTGGAAAGAAAAAAAAAAACCACAAGCTGGAAACAGAAAGGGGCAACCCTTAAAGAAAGGCTGTACTTCAACAATGTCAAGTTCTGCTTGCCCAAGAACATATACTCAGCAGTGGTCCAGTGGGCCTACGGAGCATCTGTCCAGAACCCTCATGAACTCTTTTGATCAATAAATACTCTGAAGTACCAGGAATTGCCTCTCTGACCAACAGTTACTGTAAATCTTGTGCCATTTGTGCCAAGGGCAACTCAGGAAGAATGGAGGAAAGCCCCAAGCATCTAGCCAAACCTCATTATCTCTTCCAGAGGAGTCAAGTTGACTACATCCAGAATGCCAAAGAGTGGCTGATTCAAATATGCACTAATTATAGCAGACATGTTTTCAGGATAGCCAGAGGCCTATCCAGCCACCAAAGTGATAACCAAGACCACATGCTGAGTAGTGCACCGTGAAAGTTACAGAGATCACCCCGTGGATTCATCATTCCAGAATCAAGCCTGCCTCTGCATCATGTGAAGTAGCATTTGTTGATCTTGACAACCCTTTTTGAAACTCCATTCTTAGAGAACAAAGAGACTTGTTGAAAATAAATAAATAAATATCAACAAGTGGGTGTTTTGATGGCCATAATAATGCCTGACCACCTGCCATCGATGGAAAGCCAAATACCCCAAAAGGGGACCTTGTGAAACTAAAGAGAAACAGACATACTCCTTACCCTGCAGCCCTCACGTCTGAGGTGCCATACGCACAGTCAAAGCTTCTTCAGGATCATCTGCTTATCTTGAGTTTGTGGTGATATTAATATTGAATGTTTAAATGATCTGAAATTGCCAGTACTAGGGTAGCATGAGACAAGATTTCTAAGATTAAGTAAATGTGCCCTAGCCAAGGTTATTATGTCCATACACATAACACATGACAATCCCCAAGGTACTCTTGACACACCTCATTCATGCTTCAGGACAAAAATGAGTACCCCTATAAAGGGTGGTTTTACCCACACATACATATATTAATGCCATAGGGGTGTCAAGGGGGGTACCAAATGATTTTAAGGTAAGAAACTAAGTTTGAATCTATTCTCCCAAGCATTACAGCTAATCAAATCTGAATTGGAAGGGAAGAAGTTTATACAATAAACAGGAGACCTTTTTCTTACAGGACATGTATGACTCAGCTGAATGGGTAGGTGCCACACACATGACTGTTAATCCCCTCAAACCACACATTAGGACTTTAAAAGACATGGTAGTCATCCCATATTTGAGGATACTAGGGTTGTAGAGACAGGTTTCTCTGACACTAACTTGTGACTTGAATGGATGAAATACAATGCTACTAAACATAACAAGTCTAACTGCTATGTCTGCGGAGGAGCGAGGCCTCGCCCAGGTACAAGTATCCCTGAACCTTCCTCCGGATATGAAGTATGCGTTTTAAGTCTCTACACTCTATTTAAACCTAAGCGGTCAGCATGCAAGTCATGGAAACTTAATACCCAATCATTACTAAAAATATTAACCCAGAGGAAGGCATTACTATATATCCAGGGAACTATACTTGTTATGGGATATATGGTGGGATAGGGCGGTTACAAACTACCTCTCAGATGACCTTCCAGAATAGAATAAGCTTGGAAATGATTTTGGCAGGAAAAGGGAGAGTATGTAAAATACTCCCAGACTCCATAACATGCTGTACCTATATTCCAGATAATACAGGCCCTAATGGTAAGGTAACGTTGGCAATAGAAAAGTTAAAGAGTTTGTCCAACGAGCTGAAATGAAATTCTGGGGCCGCAGATCCATGGGAAAGATGGTTTGGATGGATGACTGGATGGCAAGGTGCTCTGGCCCAAATAGGTGTTGCCATTTTAATAACGATAATCATCCTCGCTCTTCTTGTTTGTTGTGTGTTACCTTGTCTTAAGAAATGCCTACAAAAGACAGTTGATCAGACAATCGACCAGACCACCCCGACCTTCCTTCACCAAGAGATTGACGACATAGACCGTGATACACCCTTACAGTCCCACCGCACTAAATCAACAGCTACTTCCTCTTAAGGACATTCAGGGATAGCGTCTGTCTCTACGGGCAGAAGTCTGTCGCGGGAGAAGTAGTGGACAAGCTGCTATGGGTCACCCGCGCAGTGAAGCGTTCGAGGCCTGTTCAGACAGATGTGCAAGATAGCCTTTGTTATTTTTCTATAGGGATAGTATTAGAGTGAGAGATAGTAGTTTCTAGTAAAATTGCCATTTTAAGGGGGGACTGTTATGGACAGATGAATTAAAATAAAATGGCTATTTACTAATGTCTATTTATTCTGTGTTCACTATGTTAAAACTGGCTGCTAGAGTAAATATTCCCTTCCCCCCCCACAATGTGTTCAGTTGTCATTTCCTCTGTAAATTCCTCGCATCCTGCTAGCATCCCCCTTCCCATCAGAGCAGGCCTCGTGTAACCAAAAAAATCCTGTGTTAACAGCTTCCTTTCATACGCTTCCTTTGTGCAAAGTAACAGCTAACAAAATAGAGAATCACTGTTAAAGAAACTACTCACTCCCCCTCCCATCGTGTATCCAATATAGGTGGGAAAATTCTGTAATGACGACACTACATCCTGTAGGGGGGGTTTAGACAAGATCCCTTAGACTGTTAACCAATTGTTGAATGTATATTGTATGTTTAACTGTGACTCTGTACATGACGTATTTCTGCTTTAAAAGGAACTCCCACTCCAGGGAATAAAGCATTCCTTGGTTTTTCACTGATCAGAAACTTTGTCTCCGGTGTGAATTACTTCTATGGAAAGCGTGCACGCATTAATCAATCAATTTGGAAGGTGTAGATAGACAAATTATCAAAGTTTTCTTTGATCCAAATCAGAATTAGTGCATGAAAAGTGTTTAAATATCACCATTTGATACCCTGGGGTGTCTACTTTCAAAAAATATATAGTTTGATGGGGGTATAATATGTGTGGGTACAGTAAATGAGTAAGAGGAATATTACAACTAAGCACAAACACCAGAGAAATGTAAAAAGAGCCCTGGTCCTTAACGGTAAGAAAATTGAAAAACAGTCTGGTTACTAAGGAGTTAAATAATATTTCTAAATTATTAACAGTTTTTTTTCCATAAGGCACTGTTTGAGCTTATCTTTTATTTCAATAAAGTTTTTAGAGTTTTCAAGAGTTAAATTCACTTTGTTTACTAATGAAATCTTTCCCAGTTAGATGTTTAGCTCAGTTAAATTAAAATTCTTATTGGATTGGGCTTGTAATTTGATAAAGTGTCCTCTGATTACTTCTTTAAAAGCACACCAGAGGGTGATGGGGATATCTCTCTAGTCATATTTTCTTCAAAATATCTTTAACCCCTTAAGACTGCAGCCAAATGTACAAATTGTGATCCAAAAAAAAAAATTTAAACAAACCACTGAATTTTACTATATGTCTGTTCAACAATAATTTACCTCTTTCATATTAAATGCACCCACACTTATTATATATACTTTTATTCAGGGGAAACAGGGCTTTCAGTTAACATCAAATATTTAGGTATGAGACACTTGTGACTACGTGGCTACTAAAAAAGACTGGATATACCCCATTTGCAATACCTTGGGTTGTCTACTTTTGCAAATGGTATGCCATCACGGGGGTAATTCTTATTCCTGTGCTATCATACGGTCTCAAAGGCAACGTAACCAATCTGGCGAATTTCAATGTGAAAAAACTGAAACGCAAGCCTTATATTTGACTCTGTAACTTTTGAAAACACCATAAAACCTGTACATGAGGGGTACTGTTATACTCAGGAGACTTTGCTGAACACAAGTATTTGTGTTTCAAAACAGTAAAAAGTATGCCAGCAATAATATCATCAGTGTAAGTGCCGTTTGTGTGTGAAAAATGCAAAAAACTTCACTTTCACTGACGATATCATCGTTGTAATACATTTTACGGTTTTGAAACACAAATATGTGTATTCAGCGATGTCTCCCGAGTAAAACAGTACCTCCCATGTACAGGTTTTATTGTGTCTTGGAAAGTTATAGGGTTAAATATAGTGCTAGCTGTTACAATTGCCTCCGGTCTAGCAGGAGGTTGGATCGCTTGGATATCCTGGTTCCCGAAGTTGGAGAGTCGAACACTGCTTCAAACAGTAGAAACCTGTAAGTGTAGAATATCCCACTAGCTATAGTAAAGCTAGGATTCCCAGTTCCCTACAACACGAGTCGAGGCTGCGAGTTGAGGGTAAAACGAACTGGGTTTAATGGCACACAGACATGGCAATTTATGCAAGTCCCCAGGTCCAGAGACAGCACCCTCTGGACCTGATGGAACACAGGTACAACACAAGGAATCGACCAATCACATTACACTGTATCATTCAAAATAGTACCCGCCCAGCTTGGAGATAATGAGTCCAACGGTTATACAATCTAGTTATCTCCAAGCGCCCAAAATGCTATGCCTTATTTTGTCATAGAAAACAGCATAAAAATATATAACTTCAACATTTTGATGAGAATACAGCTCGTTCGTCTATTCATTCGGTAGCTCAGATCTGAGCGCATCAGGTATACGAATTGCGCTCAGATCCCACGAACAGAACAGATGGTTGCTGTCATACAAAGTCTCATTCGTTGCTTTTATCCGAACTTGGGATGGCGGCCATGTTTTAAGGTCGGTCAATGGACAGTGGGACCTCGACCTAAAACTCATGGAATGAGTGTCGGCTACATATTTGCACGAACCCCCGCTCTCAGTATGGTTGTCCCAGCCATTCGGGAAACGAACAGAGACCACGTGGAAGGGGGTACTTAACCTGCGGTTAACCGCAAAATAAGCATTCTAATTGAGGCCACACGCCAGGATGTAGGTGGTCCTCGTTTGTGAGTCTTTCGGTAGTTTTCAGTTCAGGGAAATGTACACGAACTAGGATGCCCTGCGACCGTCAATTAGGCTGTGGTTAACCACAGACCGCAGCTCCTTTGGTGGTTAATTAGAGGCACGCTCCACTCGTAGGGTGGTTCGGTAATTTCAAAGGGCAGGGTGGTCCGTCATTCATATACACGAATGCATAGATATAACCGTTTGTGGAATGGGTTCGTACAGTCTGGATACCGAACAGAGTATTGGATGAACAAAAAGGGTATTACTTCTATAACAGTTTGGAGGGTTCCTGTAACACTAGCAAATTAAATTCCCTATACTTTTGACAAATTGTAATTAATAAAAGGACCTAATTATGCAAAATTATTACATATATGTATATAATTTTTTTTAATTAATTTTATTTATATATAGGTATACATATAGTGATATATACGTATATACTTATGTATATAGGTGTATATATATATATTATTTCATTCTACGTGTATTTTGATATCAATATATATATTAATATCAAAATACAGTTAGAACGAAATTACACACATATATTTTTTAATTATTTATTTTTTATTTTTTAACGTATTTACATATTTTATTTTTTATTATATATAAATATTTATATATAATTATATATATATTCAATATCCTTCTACGTGTATTTTGATATTAATATATATATAATTATATATTAATATAAAATACACTTAGACAGTGTATGTGTAAATGTGTGTGTGTGTGTGTGTGTGTGTGTGTGTGTATATATATATATATATATATACACTTAGATCATATACATAT